ATGCGCGTAACATTTCATGCTTAACTTTGAAGGTGTGCTCTTAGCCACAATCTCTTCTTGATGCTCCTTCATGAGGTTCCGCTTAATTGTCATCTACACCTTTTCGATGCAAATTCTTGATTAACAAACAATTTTTCCTCAATTTGCCATAGACCCTGGACTGAACTCGAACCTGAAGCCGAGGTATAAGATTCTTGTTCGCTCGGATTATTCCAATCAATATATGTGTAATGTGGGATTTCATCCCAAAAAGGAGTAACGACCTCATTACCTGTATATACAAATTAGTAATATTAACAAAAAAATTGCATAAACATATATGTATATATGAGTTGTTTACTAATATACCTTCTACAGGTTGTGGTAATTGAGTCGATCCCATGTCATGATGTTCCGCGACTTAAGACTCCCCCCGATCATGATATTCTTCGATTTTAATCGCGAGCAGACCCTGATCCTCATCGTTGTCCGAAGCACAAGCATCCTCGGTCAGAAGATGATCTTCCATTGCGATATTTTCATCATCGTCATCATCATAGTCGTCATCCATAACTCAGGGGTCATTGTCATCTTCCTCAGACATGTTAACAACTGAAGCAGCAGATGATGATGCATCACATGGAGAATTAAAAGCAACTGACCTCATGGATAAAATAGCATCCTCTGCTTTGGCAATATCCTCTACTCTGGCAATATTCACGTACAACTTTAAGAAATCTTTCCTTGACTGGTTGAATAATTCTTCCATTATCATATCTACGTCTTCATCATCCATTACTTGCAAACTAATGTATTGTTCATATTGCCATAATCTTGTCGTGACCAGAGTGATAGATTGGCAACCTTGGAGAGCTAACTTTTAACGAATTCTCTAATGCAGTTCAGCAATTATTGAGTTGCGTTTTATACGTGTTGTCCTTTTGTTCGCCTTCAAAAACTACACCATGTCGGCCTTCAACTTTCCCACCAGTATAATATAAAACAACACGAACAGAATCAGAATGTGAAATCATTCCTAAATATATAAATAGAAAATAAAAGAGAGTATGAAGAGTGTGGAGAGGAAGTTTATGATAGAGAAGAGTTGTGAAAAGTGTGGAGAGGATCAAGGTTTAAATAGGGATAACTGAATCAGTTATGTCTGAAGTGGGCGAAAAAAGGGCTTGAGTCTCGCCCCATTTGGGCGAAACTCCTTCCTTGATTTTGCCTAATTTGGGTGAAACATGTTTTGCCTAGGTGGGGCGAAACTAAGTGCAATACATCCGTAAATTGGTTCAGAATGATTATATATCCATAATTATTTATTAAAATAATAATAAATAAATTTTTTCCAACTTGCAAGAAATACGTGATGTCATAAGTATGAGCAGTGGTTTTCTATGTTTCTTGTTATTTTTTTGGTTACACACTTCCTTTTTTAATATAAATTGTGATTAGAATAAACCTGCGCATTTAAAGTCATTTAAATAATAGAAAATTGTTTGTGTTAGCATGTGTAGCACTACACAACTTAATTTCTTCGCTAAGAATATCATTCAGATAAATTTTCAATTGAAACAATATAGATGCATCTTCATCTTCAGTATCACCAGTTAATAAAGAAGATCACTTTTAACCTATTGGTCAAATCCAAGAGTAGAAACAAGAAGATGCTAATGCGTGGAGGGCTAGTATAGTTTTAGATATGTGGAGAGTTGCTGCTTAGTAGGATATCAAGTTACTTTAAAATACTAATTGAGAAAATTATATTAGGTTTTACTTTTTTTATTAATCATTGCATTTCTTTATTTTTTATTGACTCTTGTAATTTTGAATGTTTGTTAAAAGTTCATATGATATTTTTAAAACCTTATAAATCTATATTATCTTTTTAAATCTTATAAATTCTATTAAAATCCTTTAAAATTCAATATTGCAAAATCTTGATTGTAAAAAATAAAAATTTTAAAATCACTACAATTCTAGATAATCTTTTAAAATTTATAAGATTTTTATTTTTATCAAAATAGCCTTTTAAAATTCTAATCCAATATATCTCTCTAAGGGTCCGTTTGGATGAGCTTTTTTTTTCAGAAGCTGCTTTTTTTTAAGAAAAAAAGCACTTTTCATTTTTAGTTCGTTTGGATGTCTGCTTTTAAAAAAAGGAGAAGTCATAAAAAAAGCCAAAAACCTACTTTTTTTAGAAGCTAAAAATTTTAACTTCTCAGAAAAGTAGAAGTCAAAAGCCAAATATTTTTTTCAAAAGCTAAATATTTTTATAAAAATATAAATAACTTTAACCTTAATAAAAAGTACTTTTAAAATAAGAAAGTGATAACAGTTACTTTTTCTTAAAGTTGAAACAAACGACCTCTAGGTCCTCAATATATAGTTGTGTTAAAAATTTAGAAAAGCTTTGTGGCCACCCTTATAGTTCTATTCGACTTAAATCGAATTAATCAAATAAATTTCGAGACAGAAATTAAAAGAGAAATTTTAATAAGATTACCCAATTTACCATGCCATTCGTGCCCCTTAAACTTAAGCTTGTTTCCCGCATGCAATAAAGGCAAGTAAGACTGGTATTTTCTTTGCCACACCATTTACCACTCATTAATATGCGAATCACAATCTTTCAAATGCGAATCACAACCGACGTGGGCTCTTCTGGACCTCCCACGCTTAAAGTGAAACCTAAGAATTAAACTCTTCCACGCTCACCACTATACTCTTGCGCCAATTGCAATGATAAGATTATCCTACAATACATCCTCATTAGTCCATCGCTATTTTAAAAAAATAAAATAAAATAAGCAAAGCTATCAATCAAAAGTAATTACAAGAATATTATAGCTTGACATTAGATAACTAATTTTTTTAATTAATAATTTTTAAATATGCATATAATCATATCAAAATTCACGTTCAAAGCCTAAATATAATTAAGGGTTTTATTAATCTCATGTTAAAGGAGATAAATTATCTCATATCATAGAGACAAATTTGTGTGCTCCATCATCTGAAAAAAAAAAAGTGACACAGTTATCGAAGGGTGTGTAAGAGAGAAAGTTATCACATGTAGCATAAGAGTAGTTTTTTCTTATAATTAATTATGTATTACTTCTAAAAGTTATTCTCCAATATTATCTTTATAATCATTTAGAAAAGGAATATCTCTGGGAAAAAAAAGGGAAAAGGAAAAGGGATATCCATTCTCTGAGTTTCTGTCCATCATGAATTATGATTATTAATTCTTTGTATTCAAAAATAGGGTTGTGAGAAATCATGAGTAAAAATAGACACAGCGTAAAACAAAAAATTGATATACTATAATGGCAGTTGAGCTTTTTATTTAGGTGATTAGGTCTTTCTTTCTTCTTCTTCTTCTTTTTTTTTTTTGGCCATATTGAGTTCCCAATGAGGATATGGAAATGAATGGGTCCATGGTCGGTTACATATTTTAATCATGCTTTTGGAAGCGATATGTGCCTGTCTCTGTGTATGTGACAATCCGCGGGCCTCAGCTATGGGTTTTTTTTACTTTTATAGAGAGCCAACGCATGATTTATCAAGTCTCATGACTTGTGTATGCTTAATCATAGAAAATGATGTCCTCGTCTTTTACATTTATTAAATTCTTGACTTGCATTTTTCTTTCTCTTTCAATGAATACCACACGCAACACAAGAGAATTAAAAAGGATAAGAAAATGTCTTTGTCAGGATTTTCAATTTATGTATACCTTGTGACTTGTGTACATCAAAACATGGCATTTACTATATATTGGAAGGAAGTAGCGATAAGCATTTTTATTAGGTCATGATCTATGAACTTTTTATTATAATACCGCACTAAATTTTTTTGGGGGTAAGCAGTACTGCACTATATAGTATCCGATGATGCAATCAGATTCCGATTGTTCTCATTTGCTGTGAGTGGAGAAACTCTCAGATGGTTGGATCGACAAGCTCCTAACAGCATCAGAACATGGGAGGAGTTGGCAGCTAAATTCTTTGCTGAGCACTTTTCTATGGAAAAGTACAACAAGTTGGTAAATGAAATTACCAACTTCACTCAACAACCGGGAGAGAACTTGTGTGCAGCCTGGACCAGATTCCAGGAACTGATCCGGAAGTGCCCCCAATATGACATGCCAGAGACAAAGAAGGTCAGAGTCTTCTATAATAGGATGACACCAGACTCCAGAATGATTGTCAACGGTGCAGCTGGTGGAACCATAGGAAAGAAGACAACAGCTCAAACCTTAGAGCTGATTGATTTTATGGCAAGGAATGAAAATGCATCTATGGCTGCCTAACCTGTTCAGCCCAAAAAAGGAATCTTACAATTGGGGAACAATGATGCATCACTAGCTGAGCAAAAGGTGATCTCTCAACAGCTAGCCAGTATGAACGCCAAGCTAGATAAAATGCAGATCTCAACAGCTAAAGTTAATGTATTTAACTATGAACAGTGCAAAGAGCAGCATGAGACTAATGAGTGCCCGACACTCATGGGAGCTGAACCGTTCCAGGTCAATGGAGTTTGGTATGATCCAAGGCCACCACAGAATATCCAGAGTTTCCAGAGGAATCAGAATGGTGCCCAAGGAAGCAACTTTCAGAGGAGAAATCAAGGGGGAGGCTTGGATTATAAATCCAACAATTACCTGCAACCTCCTTCTCTTCCACATAAAGAGCCATCAGAATTGGAGAAAATAATGTTGCAGCTTTCCAAGACCACAAATGATCACATGCAAACTACTGATGCCTTCATAAATGAGACAAGAGCCTACCACAAGAACCAAGATGCTTCCATCTGAAACTTGGAGAATCAGATAGGCCAATTGTCTAGGCAGCTAGCTGAAAGAGCTCAAGGGCAGTTTTTTGGAGATACTATTGTGAGTCCTAAAGCAGACTGCAAATCCATTGTAACCAAGAGTGGGATTGTGATTACTCCTCAAGACAAGCCAAAAATGGTTCAGCAAAAGAAAGTTGATGAACCATTGATTGAGCTAGAGCATGAAAGAGGTGGAAACACCTGCAAAAGAAAAAGAAGAGGCAAAGGAGAAATCTGTTGAAGCTCCAAAACAATTGATGGATTTTTCTCATTTCGAGAAACCTCCTTATCCTATGAAGCTCAAGCAACAAGCACAAAAGCAACAGTATGCCAGGTTTTTAGATATGTTTAAAAAGTTGCAAGTCAATATCCCTTTTGCTGAAGCTTTAGCTAATATGCCTAACTATGCTAAATTCATGAAAAATTTATTGTCTAGAAAGCATAAGTTGCAGGATTGTGAGGCAGTAGCACTTACTGAGGAGTGCAGTGCCATTATACAGAAGAAGTTCCCACCAAAGCTTCGAGATCCTGGGAGTTTCAACATCACAATTGCGATAGGCAACACCAATGTTGGCCGGGCACTTTGTGATATTGGGGCAAGAATCAATCTGATGCCATTGTCAATATGCAAATCATTGGGAATTTCTGAGTTGAAGCCAACCATGGTCTCTCTACAGTTTGTTGACCATTCTTTGAAGAGACCTAATGGAATCATAGAAGATGTTCTTGTTAAAGTTAACAAGTTCATCTTCCCTGCTTATTTTATCGTGCTAGACATGGAGGAAGAAAGTGATTTCCCCTTCTGCTGGGTAGACCGTTCTTGGCCACAGCTCGAGCCATGATTGATGTAGAACAAAGAAAGCTCGAGTTGAGGATGAATGATGAGAAAATCACCATCAATGTCTTTGATGCTATGAAGAACTCTTCTGATCAAAATGATTGCTTCAGACTTGAAGTGTTTGAAGAGGTGCTCAAAGAAGAAGAACTTGATGATCAAGAGCTTAGAGAAGAGTTGAATTCTCAAGATGAAGCTACTCCACAAGAAGAGCGAGAAGTTGTGTTTGAAGTGCTAGAAAAGAAAGAAGATGACTCAGTTACTTTGGCACCAAAAACAGAATTGAAGGAGTTACCTGAAAATCTTAAGTATGCCTTCTTGGGAGATGAAAAGCAATATCCTGTCATCATCAATAAGGAATTGTCTACAGATGAAGAAGAGAAGCTGTTAGAAAAGTGCTCAAAGAGCACAAGACAGCCATTGGGTGGTCTATTTCTGACTTGAAGGGCATCAACCCTTCTTTCTGTACTCACAAGATTCTCATGGAAGACAATGTCAAACCAGTGAGACAGTCTCAGAGGAGACTAAACCCCACAATGAAGGAAGTAGTCCGCAAGGAAGTGATGAAGCTCATGGATGCTGGAATGATTTACCCAATTTTTGACACTGCATGGGTGAGTCCAGTACAGACAGTTCCAAAGAAAAGAGAAGTGACTGTTGTGAGAAATGAGCAGAATGATTTAATCCGCACCAGAACCATTACTAGTTGGAGGATGTGTGTGGACTACAAGAGACTGAATGATGCTACAAGGAAGGATCATTTTCCTCTTCCTTTCATTAATCAAATGCTAGAGAGGTTAGCCGGGCATGCTTTTTATTGCTTCTTAGATGGTTATTCCGGCTATAATCAAATTCCAGTAGCACCAGATGATCAGGAGAAAACTGCTTTTACATGCCCATTCGGAGTTTTTGCCTACAGAAGAATGTCATTCGGTCTCTGCAATGCGCCCACGATATTTCAAAGGTGTATGCTTTCTATCTTCTCTGATATGGTAGAAAAATGTTTAGAGGTATTTATGGATGATTTTTCTATTTTTGGTTCTTGTTTTGATTTATGCTTAGTTAATTTAGCTAAGGTTTTGAAAAGATGTCAAGAAACTAATCTTGTTTTAAATTGGGAAAAGTGTCATTTTATGGTGCGAGATGGTATAGTATTAGGCCACAAAATTTCTGAAAAAGGCATTGAAGTTGATAAGGCTAAGTTGATGTTGATTAAAAAACTTCCCCCTCCCGTTAATGCTAATGGTGTGCGAAGTTTCTTAGGCCATGCAAGTTTTTATCGAAGATTCATCAAGGATTTTTCAAAGATTGCAAAGCCTCTTAGCCAACTGTTGGTGAAGGAAAAAGAGTTTCTTTTTTATGAAGCTTGCCTCAATGCATGCAATGTGTTGAAGGAAAAGCTTACCACGGCGCCTGTGCTGACGGCGCCAGATTGGAGTCTTCCATTCGAACTCATGTGTGATGCGAGCGCACACGCATGGGTGCAGTACTTGGTCAGCGTAAGAACAAGTTGTTACATGTTATTTACTATGCTAGCAAAGTTTTTAATGAGGCACAGGCCAACTATACAACTACTGAAAAAGAGATGCTAGCTGTTGTTTATGCATTAGATAAATTTAGATCTTATTTGATAGGTTCTAAAGTTATTGTATTTACTGACCATGCTGCTCTTAAGTATTTGATGACTAAGCAGTATGCAAAGCCACGTTTGCTGCGTTGGATGCTCTTGTTCCAAGAGTTTGACTTGGAAATCAAAGACAAAGCTGCAGTGGAGAATAAAGTTGCTGATCACTTGTCTAGGATTCAAGATAAGAACTTACAAGAAGGACCTGAAATTGAGGTCAATGAGTCCTTTCTTGATGAGCAAGTAATGGCAGTGATTATGAGTCCATGGTTTGCAAACTTTGCAAACTACAAAGCTGCTGGCTTAATGCCTGATGATCTCATTTGGCAGCAGAAAAAGAAATTCCTTCATGATACAAGGAGGTACCACTGGGATAACCCTTTTCTTTATTTTCAATGTGCTGATGATGTTATTCGCAGGTGTGTGGCTTAATTCGAAATACCAGATATTCTGTGGCATTGCCATGCATATGATTATGGAGGACATTTTGGAGGCAACAAAACTGCATAGAAGGTGTTACAAAATGGGTATTACTGGCCTACAATCTTCAAGGATGCACGAGATGTTTGTAAAGAAATGTGATAAATGCCAAAGGACGAGAAACATATCCCGCAAAGATGAGATGCCCCTCAACTGCATACTGGAGGTAGAATTGTTTGATGTTTGGGGAATTGACTTCATGGGACCATTCCCTAAATCGTATTCTAACCAATACATCCTGGTTGCTGTGGACTACGTGTCCAAGTGGGTAGAAGCGGTTGCTTTGCCTATGAATGATGTAAAGGTGGTAGTTGCTTTCTTGCTGAAGAACATTTTCACCCGCTTTGGAGTTCCTCGAGCGATCATAAGTGATGGTGGAACTCATTTCTGCAATAAGCAGTTTGAGAGCTTGCTTGCAAAATATGGCGTCACTCATAAGGTAGCTACACTATACCATCCTCAGACCAGCGGACAAGTCGAAATCTCAAATAGAGAGCTGAAGAGGATTCTGGAGAAGACAGTATGCAATTCAAGGAAGGATTGGGCTAAGATACTGGATGATGCACTCTGGGCATATAGGACTGCTTTCAAAACACCAATAGGTATGTCACCATTCCAACTGGTGTATGGTAAGTCTTGTTATCTTCCTGTAGAATTAGAGCATAGAGCCTTGTGGGCGATGAAATTTTTGAATTTTGAACTATCAAAGGCAAATGATAAGAGATTGCTGCAATTAAACGAGTTAGATGAGTTCAGGTTAGTAGCTTATGAGAATGCCAGGATTTACAAAGAGAAGAAAAAGAAGTGGCATGACAAGAAGATTCAACCAAAAGACTTTGAGCCAGGACTACAGGTATTACTATACAACTCTCGATTGAGGTTGTTTCCAGGTAAGCTTAAGTTTGTTGGTCTGGTCCTTTTGTTGTTAAGAAAGTATTTCCATATGGTACAGTTGAGATTTACCCTCTCAACATTGAAAGACCTTTCAAGGTCAATGGGTGTAGATTGAAAACATATCATGGAGGAGAGATATATAGGGACACAATTGCTGTTCTTTTAATTTCCCCAGAGACTTAAAGAGTCTGCGTCACGCTCGTGACGTTAAACAAGCGCTGGTTGGGAGGCAACCCAATAATTTTTGAGTCATTTTCTTTAATTAAATTTTGTCGAGTCTTTTCAGTTTAGGAATTAATTAGTTTAGAGTCGGGAAAAATAGATCACCGCGCAAATTGCACGGTGTTTGGCGCAATCCGCACCGTTTTGGCTAGGACGCCACTAAATTCTCGCGCAAAGTGCGCCGCCTACAGCGCGAACAGCGCCATTTCCTTGTAGCCACTATTTTTGCCGCGCACCTTGAGCCACTTACCGCGCAAACCGCGTCAGTTTGGTCTGTGCCACTGTTTTGTCCGCACAAAAAGCGCCGACACCCGCGCAACGCGAGCCATTTCCATGGTAAGCCACTGATTAGTCCGTGCACCTTGCGCCGCAGACCGCGCAAATTGCACGGCTGTGCGGCAGTTTTAGTGTTTTAAATTTTAATTTTTTTTTTACGGTTACCAAAAACGGAAAACCCACAACCCCCCACATTCCACCCACTCATCTTCCAAAACTGTCAACCACAACCCCTATAACTTTCCATTCCCCCATATCTCTTCCCATATTTTCTTTTCTCCTTTTAATTTACATACACTGCATCTCCACTTTTGTAAACCAAAGGAACAACACTCCCATCTTAATCTCTCTTCAAGAATCTCTCATTCTTGCATCCATGGCTGGAGAGAAGGTAAGGGTTTCAATTTTCATCTTTCTATATGTTCATTTCTGATATAGTTGTGAGTGGAGGAGTAATGAGTAAGGAGAGAAGGGATGAAGAGGTTCATCTTCACTAGATCGCGCACCGAGCACGGTGTATGGCGCAGATCGCACGGTCTGGAACTGGGATACCCCAGTATTTTCTAGCCGGTGCACGCCGCACGACCCCTGGCGTACGATGCGCAAGTTGGGTTCCAGCGTTGTGCAGCCGGCGCACCTCGCGCAGCGCCTGGAGCACGCCGCGCGGTCTGGGAATCTACGCGATGCAGCCGGCCCACCATGCGCCGCTCCTGGCGCACCCCGCGCTCGCTGGGATCTTCCTGATCTGCAGCCGGCGCACCACGTGCCGACCTCGGCGCACTCCGCCCTTGCTGGTCTTCGACTCGCGCCTTACGCGCGCGCCCTTGGCGCCCGACGTGCCCGTTGAGTTGCATTGTCCTGTGTTTCATCAATATTATCGATGGTCATGCACTTGTTATCCTCATTTTGATCTGATATTGTTAAGTTCATTACATGTTGACTTATTTGAATTGATTTGGATGAGCTATGCTCTATTTCTATGATTATTGATTAAATGCATTGAAATAGTCTTACATGATTCCAACTGGACCTTGCTTTGAACTTAAATCTGAGAATTGTGCTTAGTGGAGTATTGCCATTATGAATTGTACTAAATTTTGTTTTGCAATATATTGGTTGTACTTTTCTGAGTTTCAGGGAAAGAAGGTTAGCAGAAAGAACACTCAGGGTGGTCAAAGGAAGACCACAGCTGCATCTGGCAGCAAGAGGCCTAGGCAAGTTGATTTTGATGAGAGTAGGTTTCTCTCAGTGGAATGCCAGCAAAGATATGAAAGCTGGTACGGGCCAAAGAAAATTATTCTAGAAAGAAAAATTGATCTGGAAAGCCTCCCTGAAGATTCTCCTATTCGAGAAGTGATAAGAATGAGGAAGTGGGAGAAATTGGTTACTTTTGCTGAGCCTAGTCCAAGCACCATTCTGAAGGAATTCCTGGCTAATGTTAATCGGGAAGATGTGGAGAAAAATAGGAAAAGTTGGGTGAGGGGCAAGGTTGTTTCTTTTGAGCCCGAAGC